CATGAACTTCAAGGACACTGACGTTAAAGAAGTGCTGGCGTTTGCCACTGTTTGGAGGAATGTTTCCTACTTGAAACGGCCAGGAACTCCCTGCCTCCCTGCCATGATCCCGTATTAGGACTTGGGATCAGACTGCCTTACACCACTGCCCCTATTCTGGACAGCTGGGCTTCCCAAAGTAGCCCATTCCAGCTCTTCATTGAGTAACTTTATAGTCACAGGCCTCAGTTTCCCATCCACATAATGGGTGGAGTATGTGCACATGGGGTCCCTTTCCACTCCCAGGGGGACATCTGATCTTCATGTTGTGTCATGAAAGTTTCGTCAGATCAGAAGTTCCAGTCCTAAAATCCTAAGAACCTGCACTTTTCTGTTTAGGTGGGGAGGGAGGGACATTCTTTTCTCATCCAAAATGAAATTTTTAAAATCATCTCTCCTACTACATCCAACGTTCAGTATCCACAAAAGGAGAACCAAGCAAAGGTTAAGCTTCCGGCACAGTTAATATATATATATATATATATATATATATATATATATATATATACACACACATATAATTTAATGTTCATTACTAGAAACATTTCCAAACCCTTCCCACGGACCAAAGAGAAGGCATGAGGCATAAGATTACCACCTACCAGCACCCTGCCATTTACTGAGGTTGTTTGTATCCTTCTTGCCCTATCCTCCTCCCAACACCCCCATTTCAAAGACCAGAAAGTCAAGGCTCAGAGAGCTTATGTTGCCCGAGGCTGCCCATGTTGCCATGGCTCTGCTAACCCCGAAACTCTCTCCCTGTTTGCACTGCACCACGATGAGTCAACGCACAGCTCCAGAGACAATGGAAGCAACGGCGCCAAACGCAATACTGGCCAACAGAGCCGTGCCCTCCGAGGCATAGTGGGAGTGCTAACCAGGCAGCCACGCACCCTGACAGCTTTCCACGGGGAGCTGCTAGGAGACTGTGCGCGCAGGGGAGGGGAAAGACGGGGCTGAGCAACAGCCGCACGAGCAGAAGCGACGCCAGGGATTTAGTCAACAGAGAGCTAATATGAGTCAACAGCGGGTGCCGCTGCCAAGCACACGGATGGGATCTTCAGCTGCATTAATAGAAGGAGAGTGTCCAGGGCATGCGGAGGGAGCCCTGCCCCGCTGACCAGACCACCCCTGAGGGCTGGGCTAACGAAGGAGGGGCATCTTCCGAGGCCAGGTTTTCTGGAGAGGGATGGCTCTGGGCGGCTCTCTAGGTTGGTAGGGTGAGCCCAGGATTCCCTGGGTGGCTGATTTAAAAAATATATATTTTATTGATTTTTTACAGAGAGGTAGGGAGAGGGATAGAGAGTTAGAAACATCGATGAGAGAGAAACATCGATCAGCTGCCCCCTGCACCCCCTCCCCTCCACTGGGGATATTCCCGCAACCAAGGTACATGCCCTTGACCGGATTTGAACCTGGGACCTGTCAGTCCGCAAGCTGACGCTCTATCATCCACTGAGCCAAACCGGTTTCAACTGGGTGGCTGATTTTTAAAGCTAACCCACGTTCTATGGGTTATATGGATGTTTAGAAAAATATCCTAGAGCCCTGGCTGATTTGGCTCAGTGGACAGAGCGTTAGCCTGTGGACCAAAGGGTCCCAAGTTCGATTCAGGCCAAGGGCATGTACCTCAGCTGCAAGGTTCCATCCCAGCCCCAGCCCTGGTCAGGGCACATGCAGGAGGCAACCGATGGATGTGCTTCTCTCACATCGACAGTTCTCTCTGTCTTTTCCTCTCTCTTCCTCTCTGTCTTTTCCTCTCTCTTTCACTCTGTCTAAAAATCAATGGGAAAATATCCTAGGGTGAGGATATATATATATATATATATATATATATATATATATCCTTTAATTCGCATCATATCAAGGACTGAGAAACCAGCGACTATCCACAGCAAAGGTTAAGAACACACAGGCGTGCTAGGGACCGCAGCCCACCACCCGACAAGGGGCTCCTTGAGGAGAGGATCGCTGGAGGAGACAATGACAGTTGCTTCTTCCCTTATTAGACATAACAGCTGGGCTGTGGTTTGGCCAAGAAGTTAACCCTCTGTGGAAAGCTGTTGGGATGGGTGACATACTAAAAATGGTATTCTAAAAATGCACAGGGGACACTGGGCTGGAGATGCTATCATCTTAAGTGTCAAAGTCTCCAGGAAGTTTTCCCAATCCCCCCAGGCTGTCCCTTCCCCAGCACCCTTTCTGGGGGAGCCTGTCATATCACCGAGCATCGCTTAGGACAAAATGACATGTTTCCCAAGAGTCCAAAGACCACTTCTCATTCACTTGTCCATCCACAGCTTGGTGCTGGGCACACGGGAGACACCCACTAAATGTTGACTGACCTGAACACCGAGGTGCCCTGGCACACAGTCACACAGAGGTGGGTGCTGCATTCAAGGCCATTTCAGAACACACATGTCCAGACCAGGGCTTTAAAAAAAAAAAAAAAAAAAAAAAAAGGCCTGTGCCAATGCATAACCACTTTTAGTGTGCTTAACAAAGACATTCTTGAAGCTACCACCACCAGAGGATTTTAATTACAAAGGAGCCATCGTTAGCTTGGCAAGTGCCCATGGAAATGTCTGGAGACAGACAATCCAGGTTATGGTGGTCAAAGGTAAATCCTATCTGTGTGCCAGGCAGCCACGCAACACCAGAGCCCAGGAAGTGGTAAAAATCCAGGGATGCAGAAGTGAATAATGGGGCCAGATGCCAAGAAAACACGACAGCATAAAAAAGCCTGGTGAGAAGGGTCTGAGGAAGGAGCACCTGTGCTACAAGTTCATGGGGAGCTGGCTGCCTGGCGCTAACCACGCAACTCTGAGGATGAATTACAAGAACGAAAACTCTGATCCGGGAAGATGCGCATAGGAGACTGAGATGCAGCTCTGATATGTAATAAATCTTTAAACCAGTGAGCCATGCTCACTGGTGATTTTTCTTCATCTTTCCTGCACTCGAGCTGCCAAACATGACAAAAGCCAGGATTTGCTTTTTATTTGCCTTTGGACTGTGTGTGTATGTGTGTGTGTGTAAATAAAATTTGGGGCTCACTAAGTCACACCCTAAAGCATCGCAGCATCTGCCATCATAAGAAACCCTGGCGAATGAATCTGTCAAACAGCCTTTTATAAAGTGAAGAAAGCTTTTAGGGTGCAAACTACCCTCACTCCCACCACCTCCAGGGCTCCACCAGGTACAGTAAGTCAGCATTCCTGCCGCGACCGGCTCAGGTTGATTTGCCACGGATGCACTTTACGCAGTTGGCATTATTCACCCCAGAAACGCCACTGAAGCCTGTCGCACAAACCTGACAGGAGCAATACATTTTACAAACCAACCATCTCGGGGGAAGTTCCCAAGGAGAGCATCCCTCTGTCTCCCAGAGCGGAGATGCAAAATACGCCACATCCTCGCCACACACAGGCTGCCCACTCCGGGCTCTCCAGGCCTCCTCTCCCAGCTAAATAAAAACTAAGGAGCCTCCATCCTGGGCGGCAGCAACATTTTAATGCGATTTTAAACAATGGCTCTAAAGCACCGGAACGTAGCTCCTTTTTTCATGAGTAAAAAACAAAAACAAAAACCAGCATTAAAAAAACACACAAAAGGCTATTACCATAACAAAATGATATCCTCTGAAGAGCAAGCACTATGAGCCATAAAAAAAAAAAAAAAAAAAATGAAACTGCCATACACTGAAACTGTCTCAAAATTAAACCTACAGAGGGAAGCACTAAACCCCAAACCAGGCAGGCTCTGATTTTCCCATCTAAAACCATTCCATGTTCCCAGTTCTCTGAATGAGGTCCAATGATTTTCTCCCACCCGGAAGGGCCTAAATGCGTTTTTTGTTGTTGTTTTTGTTAAGTCCGGGGATGTTATTTTTCTCCCTTGAAACCTTGGAGATGGTCTGTCATATGCATCTAAAGCTCAATCACTGCCCTGTCCTCGGTCACACCCAAAGATCCCGAAGGCACCATCTGCCGCAGCGCCCCGGTGCACAGCAGGCGCCCCTTTAATGTGCAGATCTGACTTGATCAGATCCGGGCCCCGGGCTAGAGAGACGCGTGGGTAGCCGGCGGCCGCCCAGGCGGGGATGGCAGCGCCGGCCTAGCTCTCTCCTGGAGGGAGGCGGTGCAACCACCTGTGGGCGGGTGGCCGGGGACTCGGGCCGGAGCGCCCCACGCGCGGAGACCCGGGTGAAGTCTGGCGCGCCAGCCCCCGTGGGCGCCCCGGGACCGACTCCCTGCGCCCCGTCAAGGGCTCCGCCAGCTCCAAGTTGGCCAGGTCCGAGAGAGTGGATTCTAGAGTTAGCGCCAAGGGGCTCCTGGGGAGGGTGGGGTCCGGTGGAGCCCTGAGAGGGGATCAGGAGAGGGCAGAAAGGGTCCCCTGACTCCCTCCCACATTTGGCACCTGCCGGGCAGCAAGTGTGCGAGCTTTTCCTCCCTCCCGGTTCTCTAAGGCCTGGGGGCTACTTTGGGGGGTAGAAGGGAGGGGGTGGGGGGCAAGCGGGCCACGCCAGGGCAGCACCGCATCACTTTGACATTTTCTAACCAACAATCCAGGCCCCGCTGGGATCTGGGGAACGAAGGGGAGCACCTGTCACCCGCGCCGGGGGGGCGGGGTCTGGGGGGACTCCGGGGAAGTGGGTGCGCAGGGAAGGGCTGAGCCCCAAAGGACGAGATGGGAGCCCGAGAAGGTGTGTAAGCCAGCCAGGCAGTGTACCAAGGAGGGGGCGCGAGCCGGGGATGGGGCCCCGTGGCCGGGTCGGGGTGGCTCCAGAGGGAACCAGGGTTAAGGAGTCCTCCCAGGAGAAGGGGGAGGGGATCCTGCAAGGGGAGCGCTCCAAAGACGAAAAAAAAAAAACAAAAAAACCCCCAACAACACAGGAGGAGGGGGCTGCCCCAAGGGGCGCGGGGTGCCGGCGCCCAGACCGGCCCCGTCCCGGCACTCACCGGCAGGTCCACGCTCACTTCGGTCCCGTCCAGCAGGAAGACGCGGCAGTAGAGGGTGGCCTTGGCCGCGCCGGCGGCGGAGATGTGCACGGCCGCGCCGCCCGTGAGCAGGGGACCCCCGCCGGCCGGGAACACGCTGCCCCCGGGCGCGGCGGGCAGCGGCGAGGCGGCGGCGGCCGGGCCCCCCCGCGGCCCCCCATCGCGCTCGTCCCCCAGCCCGGCGGCCCCGCGCCCTGCCGCGCCCCGCGCGTAGAGCTGCATGGAGCGGCGGCCAAAAGTCCGGCGCAGGAACCGCAGCATCCTGGCTGGGGGCGCCCCCTGCCTCCGCCCCTTGCGCCGCCGCCGCCCGGGAGCTCCCCGCGACGCCGTCAGCGCCCGCGGCGGCCGGCGCCTCCTCCCGCGGGCTGCGGCGCTGGGCTCGCTCCCGGGGAGGCCGCGGCCGCGCTCCGGCTGCCTGCGGGGCGCGCGGGCCGGGCCGGCGCCGCCTGCGAGTGGCCGCGGGCGGGCGGGCGGGCGCGCTGGGGCGGCCCCGGAGCCGTCCCGCCGCTGTCGCCGCTGTCGCCGCGGACGCTCCCGGCCGGCGGCCTGCGCTTCCCGCCGAGGGGCTGCTCCCGACGGCCGAGCCGGGGGGCCCGGGGCTGCGGGGGGCGTGGGGCGGGCTGCGGGTGCTCCCGCGCCGCGCGTCGGCCAAGGGCCAGCCGGAGCAGGGCGCCTGCGTGCTCCCCGCGCTCTCGCTCCCCCTCGCCGCGCCGTGCCCGGGGCCGGAGGGGGGCCCCCGCCGAGCGCCCGCTCCCCAGGCGCCTTCTCCTGCGCCCGCAGCCCCCGCCTCCCACCTGGGAGGCTGCACCTCCGGCTCCCACCACCGCCGCCCGCCCGGACTGCAGCACACCCTCCTCCCTCGGGGCTGCGCCCGGTTATCGCAAACCGAGTCTCTGCCGCCCCCTGCCGGCCCCGGGGTCCCCTGCAGCTGTAGGTGTGCTCACGTGTGTACACGTAGGTGAGCACACACGTGTTTCCGGCGCCCCGAGCCCTGGAGACGCCTGAGAGTCTCCCCCGTGCATGGCTAGGAAGACTGGGCTGGATGCCCTCCGGAAGCCTGGCCCCGAGGCCAGAGAGAGCATGAAAGTGGAGGCCCTCCTGACCCTCAGTTTCCCCTCTGGAAGAGGAGCGGGGTGGACCCTGTCATCCACAAGATCCCTGCTACTTGATTAAGTTGGGTCCTCTTAAGATCTCAGAGCTGTTAGGGCCCTTTCAGTCACTGCAGTCCAACGGGATCGTTCCAGATAAGGAAACTGAGGCTGGGCAAGGAGAGAGAGTACCTCTGCAACTTACTACACAGAGAAACTCCTGTCCTCAAGGAACTCGTGTCCAGGATTGGCTCAGAGGCCTGCAAAAATAGCCATAACCCAGAAGGCTAGGAAAGGCTGAACAAATGACTGGGAAGCAAAGTAGAGAAAGTAGAGGCTCGAGAAAGAACAGTACAGGGCTCGCTGGGAATAGCAGAGCTGCCCCTCAGGGGTACAAGGCCAAGGCCTGCTTCGGGGAGAAGGGTTTGTCCAGTGTTGCCGGGAGGAATGTAAAGGAGGTCAGGCCTCTTGAGATGAAAAAGACTACCTTTTTGTGTGCCTGACACTGTGCTAAACCCTTTCCATTCATCATCTCACTTAATCCTCAGGACAGCCGGGTTCAATAGACGATTTGATCCCCACCGGACAAAGGAGGAAATCGAAGCTTAGGGAGCTTAAAAGCCTTGCTCCAGATTCCATGGTTCACAGGGACTCCTGTGCAGGACTTCAAAGCTGTTGCTCCTAACCTCTGCCAGGCTGAGGCATGTAGCCTGATGGACAAGCCATGAAGGTTTCTAAGAGGCCTGGGTCAGGGGCAGTGGCCACAGCAAAAGGGACAGAGAAAAAGGGAGGGGTGAAGTCAGGAAGCAACCCTCCCCCCCTTCTTTAAAAAAAAAGTTATTTATTGAGGATCAGGTACTGTCTTAGGTGATTTCATGGATGATATTTTCATTAATCCTCACTCCAACCCTTCTAGGTAGTTCTTTTTATCCCTATTGATTTTGGTGTGGCTTGGAGCTTAGACAAGTAATATCCTTGCCCGCGGTCTCAGAGTTCCTGAATGGCAGCAGCCGGTATCCCCACTTGTTTTTGACCCTTTGTGACTCTACAGGAGTCTGATGTATGACAGTTACCCCTGAGGGCGCATCTCCAATCAGCCTTCAGACACCTGCTCTGCTCCCCTCCCCACAAGACTTGGCACAACAGCCTGGGCTCTCTAACCAGCCCTTCAAATTGTTGAATTGCCAGTTCTCCAACCTCCCTGCTCAGTATCAATGGGCCAGGAGTGCACACACACCTGTCAACACGTCATTCTTTTATGGGCCTTTTGGTCCACAAACTGTAATTCAGAATCCCCAGTATTTCACTTGTGTGTGTGTGTTTTTTTGTGTGTGTGTGTTTTTGTTTTGTTTTGTTTTGTTTTGTTTTTCCTTGAACCATCCTGGGCCGAAGTTCTCAAGAAATGGTCTACATTAAATACCGGGTCTTTTCCTTGGTCAGAGGTGCTGGACTAGCTTGCTGTCCTCAACTTCACAGGCAATTCTGAAATGACATCTCTAAAGCCACCTCTTGCCTTCTCCCGGGCTACCACTTCCATCCCCACCTCCTCAGCTTCGTGGGGACGTCCCACCGTGCCTCCCATCACTACTCCAGAGCTTTGTGTCATCAGCACACCTTGGAGAGAGTTCCTTACGCACTCCCTCCTCCAGAGTAATGCAGTTTCACATGTTAATTAAACAGCCCTTGCTGTCTCTGAGGAGCTCCTTTCAGAAATGTGCCATTTATCCCGACCCTTGCTTTCCTGGCTCATTTCCTAGACTCAATAAAATTTGTGCCCTCATTCCGACTCCTTTTCTTTTCCCTTAAAACAACATTACACTTTAATGTATGTTCCTATTTACTCCCCCTGTGAATTGTTCTTCCCATAAATGTTTATTGAGACCTTACTATGTACCCACAAAGCCTTTCTTACAATTCCAGTAAGCATAGGCTTCTGGGAGCAGGCAAAAATGGGTGAAGGGGATCAATTGTACGGTGACGGAGAATAACTAGACTTACAGGGGTGATCATTATGTAGTGTATACAAATGCTGAATTATAATGTACACCTGATGTATATACAATGTTGTATACCAGTTTTACCACAATAGGAAAAACATGTTGATTGAACCTTTCTGCTATTGTTTCACAACAACTATTACTAAAGACTGTGTTAGAGCTGTCTGCCAGCTTAGCATCCACCTTCCTTCTTTAGGTTACTGTGCAGAACTACTAGACCACCACTCAGAAGCCCAGTGGTTGCCTTGGCTGGTGGGCTTAGTTGGTTGAGCATCTTTTCATGCACAGAAGGTTGCTAGTTCAATCCCAGTCAAGGGCACATGCCCATGTTTCAGGCTCAGTCCTGGGTAGGGGGCATGCAGGAGGTAGCTGATTCATGTTTCTCTCTTATCAGTGTTTCTCTATCTCCCTCTCCCTGCTGTCTCTCTAAAAGTCAATACACTATTTTTTAAAAAGAAAAAGAAAAAAAGAACCCTAATGGTTTAGGTCAGTGGTTTGCAAACTCATTAGTCAACAGATCCAAATAGCAACAGTACGATTGAAATTTCTTTGGAGAGCCAAATTTTTTAAACTTAAACTTCTTCTCACACCACTTCTTCAAAATAGACTCGCCCAGGCCGTGGTATTTTGTGGAAGAGGCACACTCAAGGGGCCAAAGAGCCGCATGTGGCTCGAGAGCCGCAGTTTGCTGACCACGGGTCTAGGTGAAGCTGCCCAGCAGTGTTTCAGGTATGGCACATGATCAGGCCTGGCTAATTAGAGCCTTGCATTCCCCAGCTACCTGTTGCTGGCTCAAGAATGGGCAGCAACTCATGCCAGGCTGATGCAACGCTTGTAGAAACTATAGGAAACCAGCAGTATTAGGCCTGAAGCTCCTTCATGCAGGCCCACCTTGACACCCGCTGCAGAAAGTCTGAGGATGAGAGCAACACACAGAGAAGCAGAGGCAAGCATGAGAGAGAGACATACTTTCTGATGACCATTTCATTTTGACTGCCTGGATCCATCCATGCCCGAAGCTACTCCCTGGAATTTACAATTTAAGGAGTGAATACGTTTAGCGGGGAGATTCTCCAGGTCTCTTTGCTGAGTACAGGATATAAGCATCGTTTTGAATAGGCGCTCACTCCCCCCACCCCATGGCTTAAAGGATTCATTTTCAAGTAAATAATTAGCAAAAACAATGCTCCTTACCAAACTGTACAGAAATAAATGGAGAGTTAATAAGTCATCTAAGTGGCAATAACAGAAGGACATTTTGGTGACTACAATTGAGTCCTGAATTTAAATGTTTAACCCATCTTTTCCCCCTGCTCCAGGTCATGTTTCTGACTTCCTCCTCTGCACCTACTCTCTAGCTCCCCGTTCCAAACATTTACTCTCCAGCCCTCTGCCTGGACTCAAGAGATCAATATCTGGAAACAGGAGTGCCCCCCACTTTCCCAATGCCAGCCCTGGCCTGGGCTTCCTACCTGAGGACTCATTGCTTCCCTGAAGGATGTGCCTCTGCTTTGGAAAAAACACATGAGAGTCCGATGCAATTGCCCTAACATTTATACTGCATATGCGTACAGAGAGGAGGGGGACATTTTTACAGGGCTGCCCCCTGCTGCCCCCCTGCCTCTTCTCTGCTGCCATCCCTTTTCCAGCCATTTCTGAAGCACTTTTCTGTCTCTTACTCTCTCTGAGCCATCTGCTTACCTTTTACTAGTACTCTTTTCTATCCACTGGTCTAAAACCAGTGCCATCCAATGGCACTTTCTGGAATGATTGGAAACATTCTATATCTGTGCTACCCAATATGGCAGCCACTAGCCACAGGTAAACTATTGAGCACTGTAGTGCAACTAAAGGACCAAATATTTAATTTTAATTACTTAAATAGCTTCCTATGTTTAGTGGTCACCATTGGACAACACAGGACTAGACATCACCCCTGTTACCTATAGCTGGCCTCATGCCCCTTGTCCTTGCTCCACTTGGTCCTATTGGTTCCTTTTGTTCTGTCCTAAACTGCCAGCATGAACTTTCCCACGTCCGGCCAAGTCTCAAGGTGTGACAGCCCTGATCCTATTTGCCATCAAATTGAAAACCCGTCTTCTGCCAAGTTGGTCAAAACCAAGGTGAGTTGTTCTTTCGGGTAAAGCCCTTAGCGGCTGGGCTGCTGCTAGTCGTG